TAAAAGAATAAAGGTTAATTTAGCTCACAGTTCTGGGCAGTAACATCTTTTAAGGGCCTTCTTTTTTTTTTTACATCATAACATGGTGGAGGGTATCACGTGGCGAGATAAAACAAGTGTCTACTGTGGGGGTCTCTTCTTCTTTTTATGAATTCATAGCAGCCATTGTGGAAGCCCAACTTTAGGCCTCCCCAAAGGCCACACCTCCTACTACCATCAACATATACATTTGGAGAAATGGACCAAAAATTCATCTAAAACACAAACTTGCAAAGATTACATTCAAACCATAACAGCCTACTACAAAATAATGTATGCACCATGACCCCCATTTTGTAAAATGCCCACAAGTCCCAGATACGCAGAAAAAACACCGGAAGTTTAATATAACACAATCCCACAAGGTTATTTCTACATGGAAGAATGATGGGTAAATTTATTTTTTTTTCCGAGTTACTTTTTACATTTTGTAATCAGAAACAGAATAGATAATTGGCAAAGTTAGACGCATAGCTCTGTGGGGAAGTTCTGAATGTAAATGGGAACAATAGTTTAAAAAAAAAAAAAAAAAAAGCCAAGGGGAAAAAAAAAGCCAAGAAATGGCGTAATACTGTGCAAGACCTTGGCCAGTGGTCTCCTTGGGACTTGCAGGATTTCAGTGACGCCACATCTTGGGCTGCAGAAGGCATTGCGAGGCTTGTGCGAGCGTCACTTACCTACTATCTTCACATTGCTAGGGCTGGGCCCGGTGCCTGGTGGCATGCAGTACTGCTCAGGCGGTGCGTGTTGAGTGATCCGCTTTCCTGACTAGGCCAGCCACTGTGACTCCTGGCCAAGAGGAGCCAACAGAGAAACACTGCCACTTCAGTGGAAGACCATGCTGACACCGCTTTCCTTTCTGAGTTAAAACCCACCACCACCACCACCACCCCTCATATTTCCAGGACAGTCAATTTTAATGAGTCTGCCTCAACACGAGAGTACTTTATAAAGAAAAGAGCTTTTAAGCTCAGTTTTGGAGACTGAAAGTTCAACATCAGGTGGTCCCATCTGTTCAGCCTCTGGTGAGGGCCTCATGGAAGATGGGATCACAATGGCAGAGGAGTGTGGAAGAGATCATGTAGTGAGACGGGAGGCCAGAGGCATTCAGGGCCAGGCTTGCTCTTTTTACAACAACTCACTCTCACAGGAACGAAACAGGGTTCCCTCTCAGGGCAGCACCCCCAGTTACCTGGTTATCTCCCAATAGGTAGGTATAGCATAGGTTCACCACTTTAAAAGTTAAATGTTCATCTTCTCAACTTTGAGGTTCACTGGGTGATGTTTTATAATACCGGGAGGCACTTTTGGTTTCACTCTGGGGGATTGTTACAGGTATCCAGTGGATGCTGCTGAATACCCTGCAGAGCACAGGAAAGCACCCCCAGACAAACAGTTGTCCAGAGCTGGACATGGTGATGCTTGCATACAGTCCCAACTACTTGGAAGACGGAAGCAAGGGAGATCTTGAATCCAAGGCCATTCTGGGTAACATAGTGAGAACCTGTTTCTTATTTAAAAAAAAAAAAAAACTGTCTAACTCACTATGTTGAGAAACCCTATACTCTAGAGACATGACTTTATCTCTTACTGCTTACTGTGTTGTGGTTTCACATCTAGAAGCAAAAGCTAGATTTGTTATCATCTTTCCCATAGAGGTTTCCACACCGCCTCTGTAAACCCCTTAACCTGCCAGGTCAGTCTCAGCTTTGTGACGTGGTTCCAGTTTTCACATCTGCAATCCTTCTTCATCCCCAGAGCTAAACACTGTCACGAGGGTAGACCGACCTCTCATGTTCCTCCGAGACTAGACAGCGGAGGGCTGAGCCTTCATTGTGAAAGTCGTATTTATCACTCATGGTCATTAATTCCTATTACTGTGCTCCTTTGCCTCTTCCACTCTTAGGTAAAACCATAGAAACAGAGACGAGGACCCGCCAAGTGTAAATATGGACAGTCTGGTTTGTGAGCGAAAGGGAAGGCCAGCGTTTCAGTTCCTTTTCATATTCAAAACTAAACAGGATCTATTACCCAGCAGAATGCCAAGGATACTCATCTCTCTGTAAAGATTTTAAGTCCCCTCCTCCTTCTGCTTCCGCATCTCCTCAAGACTCCTGGACCCCATTGCCCTGAGTTTTCATAGAGGAGTAGCCTCCTCAGCTAGGCCAGAGTGGCATGGAGTAGGTTCCTTCTTGAACTCTGGGAAAGGATCCTTGTGTCCCTTCCTCAAGGAGCCCAAGAGGTCCCCGGTAGACAAGGCTCTGAGCCCCAGACCAAGGAAATAGCATGTGCTCCCCAAGATGGTAAGGCTTGGGCAAGGCTGCTCCGTGTGCCTTGAGCTGGAGACTTGTCTCCTGTCCACATCATACCTAACAGCCAAAGAACAGTAGTCCAGGTAGAAGCGGGAACATGAAAAGGCTAAAGCCATGCTGGACAAGTGAGTGGTCAGCTGCCTGTGTGTGATTTATTCACACAATGGCAGGGTTCATGCAGTGCCTGCCTTAAACAAGATCTGGAGGCGGAGTCATAGCTAGCACACGCAAAACTTTGTGTAAGTGTTTTTTAAAAGTGCCCACTCTGAGCAGAACAGTTAGGAGGAGGCGCCCCTTCCTCGGGGTTGATGCAGCTGAGGCACTGGGTTTGGCACTGCCTGGTCAAGGGCCCCTGTGCATCTCCCACTGAGGCAACCTCACCGGCCTGGGAATTCTCTCAAGCTCGTTGTTTCTAGAATATTGCCCTGAAGAGATGAAGAAAGGAGAGCAAGGGCCAGCTCTTTAGCAACTGTGTGGACCAATATTTCTTCACACCAAACAGCCAGACCTGACCACTGTGGATGGAGACCTAGTGTGACTGTCACTCAGGCAGAAAAAAGGAGGGAAACCAGTCCTAAAGGGGCCCCTGCTGCCCTGAAGAGGTCTTCAGAGTCAATAAATCAAGCAAGGATCAGTCCCCACTTCTAAAGTGACTCTAGGATAGAAGGAACAGTGAGGAGCAGGCGACCTGTCCGGATGGGGAGGGAAGATAAATCTGTAACAATAGTGACATTAGTAATAATACTAATGGCAGTCAATTATTTAGGTGGTAAATATTCCAGACACGATTTTAAGGACTCACTTGTATTAACTCATTCAATGTTTACTAAAATCCCAAAAGGTATGATGGTGGTTACAAAATATGGCTGCAAAAATATTTTTGATACTTCCCTCTTCAAAACATGGCACCTAATTTGAGAAAGAAAATGGCTAAAACTTTCATTGCATGAAATATATATATAATATAATTGGTTCTTAATTATCACACTAATTAACAAAATGGACTTTCAAATGAACTACATGAAATTTAAAAAAAAATCTGTCCTGGGGTTGGCGGGGAATAGAGTCTAATTTTTTCCTCCTTTTGCCTGTGGAGAGACTTCCTGGGGTTCTGCTAGTGAATAGAATGTTAGGAGCAGAAGTGATGTCATGTGACTTCAAAGACTAGGTCATAAAAAGGATGCAGCTTCTGTCTGGCTCTTTCTCTGTTATTACTTGTTTGGAGGGGAGGCAACCACCATGTCATGAGGATACTGACTAGTGTAATGACAGAGAAGGCTTTCTATCAGACACCTCACCCTGGCTATCTATTCTAGGGAAACTTCTTTCTGTTTCTATGTCAATCAACCTGTGATAATACAATCAATCAATAGCTGTCTATTGCTCACTATCTCTGTCTCTCTCACTGCCCAGTTCATCTTTCCCTCACACAAAAACTAATATCCCTTGACCTCAATCAGACAGTTGCCAAAGCCCTGAGTTTCCTTTATTTCAATCTGCTTTTCAATGTGGACCTAGTCAAGGTTCAAGCTGAGCACGTCCCACTGACATACAATCTGCTCCTAAGGTTAGAAGTCACATTGTCAACTCAGACCTACATGACAGTGATACGCAGACACACAAAAAGCACCTCTTCCCCAGTCAGCACTTTAGACTAACACATCCAACCCCACACAGAGATAACTGCAAGACATGGCGACTGGGAGAGGGCAGGGAATATGGCAAAGGGGAGAGGGGTGAGGTCATAGGTGCTGAGAGTGTTCTAGGAGTGTTCTAGTATTCACTGGTCTTGGGCCACAGCACACTTTACATTCTCTAACCAGCTCATCTATTAGACAGCAATGATATGGTGGGGGTGGGGGCAGGAGCAGGTGACCTGGCAGGTGACCAGGGGCCACTTTAGACAAGTCACTCTTGCTGGGCCTCAGTTCCCTCATCTGTAACAGAACTGGATTGCCCACTGCTCCACATACTAGGTGTCTGAGGAACTTTCACAGCTTACTTGTGCACCTGACAGTCTTGGAATATATCTTCCACGTCAAGTTTATTCAAAGATTTGAAGGGCCACCCTTTCTACAAGAAAATGTTTTATATCATTATTCAGAATGCAAATTTTACATGCATTTTAATTATAGTAACTAATACTACTAACATTTAATCAGTGATTACTGTGCATGAGTTTTGTGCTAAACTCTTTATGACAGCCTTACAATAACTTAATGGTAGTATTATCATTCCCATTTTACACGTGCAAAACGGGAGTACAGAGAGATTAATCCATCTGAAGTCACACATTATTAAGTGATGATAAAACAACTCCCCTACCAATAAATTTGGGGTCATTACAAGTGGTTTTTGGATATACCTCCAACAGCGGGGCTTCTTAAGTGAAGTCTGAAAGACTCAGTCCAAAACAATATCCAAAGTTCAGCTCTGACATTCTTAAATCAATTTTAGCTAAATGGGAGGATAGTTGGCTTCACACCCGGTATCGCTGTAGGTTAAAGGAAGCTGTGGTTTTTCCGCGAGGGCTGGGGAATTTCTGGCCTTTTGGGAGCTTTCAAACAGCCTCAGAGCTGGAGGCCTCCGCCTCCGCAGCCGCTTCCCAGCCCAGCTGGTGTTGCCCGGCACTTCCTCGTTCCCGTGCGTCCGGGACGCAGTTCCCTACGCCCAACGCTCGCTCTCCTCTGGCGGGAGGGGTCCAGAGGACGGTGTCGCAACCACCTCCCTCTCTCTTTCCCCGCCTTGGCACTCAGTCACCTCCCAGATGAGCGCGCTCGCCTGCAGACCGCTGCTGGAGGTCGGGTGCCCGGCGGCATGTCCCCTGAGTTCGCGCAGACGACAGTCACCGGTCCTCTGTGCAGCCTAGAGCAAGCCAACCGCACCCGCTTCCCTTTCTTCTCTGATGTCAAGAGAGACCACCGGCTGGTGCTGAGCACCGTGGAGACAATCGTGCTGGCGCTCATCTTTGCGGTGTCTCTGCTGGGCAACGTGTACGCTCTGGTGCTGGTTGCGCGCCGACGGCGCCGAGGGGCCACCACCAGCCTGGTGCTGAACCTCTTCTGCGCGGACCTGCTCTTCACCAGCTCCATCCCCCTAGTGCTAGTCGTACGCTGGACAGAGGCTTGGGTGCTGGGCCCCGTCGCTTGCCATCTGCTCTTCTACATGATGACCCTGAGCGGCAGTGTCACCATTCTCACGCTGGCCGCAGTCAGCCTGGAGCGCATGGTGTGTATCGTGCGCCTGCAGCGCGGAATGCGCGGCCCGGGGCGGCGGGCACAGGCTGCGATGCTGGCGTTCATCTGGGGCTACTCCGCTCTTGCCGCGCTGCCGCTCTTCATCTTCTTCCAGGTGGTCCCGCAGCGGCTCCCGGGTGCCGACCAGGTGAGCACCTGTGAGCGCACCGAGACCCCTGTGCGGGCGGGCTGGGGGAGGGGCGGGTATCCGACCGAGGGGGTGAACGGAGGGGGTGAACGAGGGTGGTGATGATTAACAACAGGACTTTTTGTTGCGCTACTGTCATACACGATGCCCAGCGCTGTGTCAGCCTGCGATGCATGTATTTAAAGGCACTACCAAACTCTTTTTAAAAAATATTTATTTTTTAGTTTTAGGTGGACACAATATTTTGATTTTATTTTTATGTAGTGCTGAGAATGGAACCCAGTGCCTCATGCATGCTAGGCAAGCGCGCTACCACTTGAGCCACACCCCCAGCCCCTACCCCCCAATTCTTGCAAAAATGCAAGGGCGTGTTGTGAGGCTTATTAAATAATGAGGAGTTAAGGGGTCAGAAAGAATTTCATGCATGTGAGATGGCTAATCACATTATATTAATTTTTGCTTTCTGGTCTGGTGTTACCCTAAAGTTATCACACTTGCAGGACAGATGTGGAAGCTGAGACACATAGGATTAATAACTTGTTCAGAGTATCTCATCCTTAGTTTGAGAAGGAGCAGAAGTTTCTGTGAAAGTAAGGGTTAGGAGCCTGTATTGAAAGCCTGAAGGCAGAGGCTGGGGAGAAAGGGCATTGGAAAACCAGAGCCCCTGACCCAAGGCTTTCCCTGAAGGGCTTCTGGTTTCCTCTTCAGAATCCTCAGTTTTTCCAGCAGCAAGATGGAAGGATTACAGCAGACCACAGAATCTTACCCTGGGAGCCTTGGACTGTAGCTTCAGGGTATTCAAGAAGTTGGGGGTTTGTTCGGGATAGCAGGCCCATAGTTGTCACTTATGGAGAGGTTCATGATCTAGAAATGATTCTCTGGACAGTGTAATACTTGCTTTGGTGACTTGAGTCCCATGGTCTAGAATTCTGGGCACAGGTTTGTTCTCTTTGCTGCCCCATTCCAGGGTGGGGCCATGGGCCTCAGGTCTAGTAGGAGAAGGTGGCAGCCTGACTGGCTGTATTCCAGATGTGTTTCATTCTCCTCAGCACCTAGCAGAGAGAGACAGGTATCTGTCTGACTTATATGTGACAGCAATACCTCAAGGCATGATTTGTTGCTGTGGCTCAGCCTCCAGGAAGATCTGACCCAGGCTGAGTTCTTGACCCTGTCCCTTTCCCTATCCAGGCCACTGGTTTTCTGGCCTTGGGGTGCAAACTCTCACACCAGACCATAGGAAGGAGAGTGGAGCACTTTGAGCAGTCCAGGCACAAACAAACTGTAGTCCTGAAGAGAGAGGAGAATAGCAAGGGGGACGTCCCCTGCGGGACGGTTTCAGACTCTGGAGATGAGATGAACACTGGTCCACTAGGAAGATCTGAGTGTGTGACCTGCCCAGAGGCTGAACACAAAGGTGGCCTCCTGAGGATTTCCCAGACCAATCACGTAGCCTTTTTTGGTGGGGGTAGAATGGATGGAGGCTGCATTCTAGGCAAGCAGATGTGTGTGTGTCCAAAAAATCTGTTCTGAATAGTTTATTTGTGAGTGTGTGGAATACATTTTGGAGTGTTTGATTATGGCTCATTAGCAGGAAGGAAATCAGGCCTATGGCATGTGATCAATGAACGTGTATGCTTATGGCCACGTCCACTCAGGTGCCCCAGGAGAGCCAGGATTAGCTGAGCTAGTGGATGCTATTGGTCTCAGGAGATCAAGTGCTCTTGCTCAGGAGGCAGGTTCAAAGAATTAAAAAAAAAAAAAATGAGGTTCAAAGAATTAAAGACTAAATAGAAGATATTTTAAGGGTATCATAAATTTCTAGATATGTATTTTGTACCCTTCCTTTGACAGTTGTTTCAGGTATAGTCCTGCTTTACTGCCAAACAGCACTATGAAAGGAGGCTCTTGTCCCCTCCCAGAGAAAACTCCTGTGTGCTAACATGGCCATCGGTGACTGAGCAAGGCCTTTGCATGGATGGGGGCCTTCTTGTGTCTGGTCCATCCTGTATTCTACCCCTGGTAGGGCATGTGTGTTCAGGAGCCCTTCACAGCGTTTCTAGAATGGTCTGCATCTTACCACAGAGTGTTTCTGTGGAGATCTGTGCTCCCTGGTTGGACACACCAAGCCTTTTCTTGTTTTATTGAAGAAACACCTTCTTGGCTTTAAGGACCTTTGGAGAGGGATTTGGGCAAAGCCACTGGAAGAGAAATGAGCTAGAAGTGCTTCAGAAGGGGCCAGGTAAGTTAACTACATGCCAGATCTCTATTCAAATTAGTAGACGTGCCATGGAAGGCTTGTAATGGAAAAAAAAAATGAGACAGTTCCTTCTGTTTTCCATTTTCCTTGTTTTCCCCCTACCTGTCTGTTATGCTGCCCCCTCCCAGCCCCCCAATCTCCTCGAGTTTTATCTCTCTGGGTTACACTATTCAGCAGTCCCTTTTTATCCAGGGTTCCACAGTTTTAGTTACTTGTGGTTTCAATAACCTGTGGACAACCAAGGTCCAAAAACATTAAATGGAAAAGTCCAGAAATAAACAAAAAAAAAATTAAAAGTTTTAATTATCTTTTATTAGGGCATATTGTTATAATTGATATGTTTTGGTTTTAGTTTGTGGTTAATTTCTTAATGTGCCTCATTATCATAGGGACTTGATGTATAGAAAAAAAAACCCTACTAGATAGAAGATTCAGTACTATCTATAATTTGGAGCACCTCACTGGGGTCTTGGAATGTGCCCCAAGAGTAAGGAGGGGCTTCTGTTTCTGTATTTTCTGTATTCTTTCCAAGGAATAAAATAGATATACTCCCCAGTTCCTTGAGGGTTTTTGCCTGGGTATGTAGGAAACATTCCACTTTATAGGCTCAGCAATTGAAAGAAATAAGTTGAAAAGAATGAGTGGGGTGGGAGGAGTGCCGTCACTTAAAAATGGGGGTGGGGACAGAGATAAATCTCTTTTATTAAAAGCCTCTTTTCTCAGTTCTCATATTAACAGATCCTGTCCAGCAGGACACTAAATGAAGATTAGGATTGGAGGGATATTTTTCCTTCCCAAACCATGTGCTGATAGACTCAGGTAACCCCAAGCACTTCCTGGCTCCTTCCTCTCAAAGAGTGTGTGGAAACAGTGCTCCTTAGAGCTTTCTGTTTACCTCAGATCCCCGAAAACAGGAACATGGTGACCTTTGTCCCTTTGGGTAGTGGGTGTCCAGTAGTCCAAAGTGACCAGACTCTAAAACTTCATTGAAATTTGAATCCTATCCTGGGACCGCTTCAGAGTTGCGTGACAGAGGGGGAGCTGCCCCACCTCTCTAGGTCTTCCTTTCCTTGATTTAAATAGACATGAAGACACTGTCAACCCTATTGGATTGCCATGGGGATTTATGTTCAATAAATGGGCCAACACCTGGCGCCCCTGCAGCTAAGTGCTCAAGAATTGCTAGCTATTATAAGTTTCCTTATCTTTGGGTATAAACATTTTAAACATTCTTCAAACACTATAATTCTTCTGATTGCTGTAAAATAATAAGCAGCCATTTTAAGAGGGTGGACAGATGATCTTAGCAACATTAACATCTCAGCCAGGCCAGCTCAGCCTGTTTCAAAGGGATGCCTGCCAGTGTGTGCCGTGGCCCTGGCCGGGCAGTGACCTCCACCAGTAGGTGGGGAAGATGTCCACCCTGGCCAGAATGTGCTGTCCATTCACTCCACAAACATTTACTGTGCACCCTCCTCTTTGACCCCTGTCCCTAATGTCACAAATGCCCCTCATTTATTGAGCATTTATTGAGCACTCAGATGGCCTAGCTTGATTCTTTAGCCCATGGTAACCCCACAGCTGTTGTGCTTTTGTTTATGTTTATTTTCAGAAAGAAGAACTTCCCAAAGTCACAGCAGGCAAAGGATGGTTCTAGAATGTAGCCCGGCTCTGTCTGGTTGCTCTAGTGTCATCTCCAATGAGTTCACACTTCCTTAGGGCCCTTGGTGCTTCTGTGGCTCCCTTCTTGATTTAATACCAGGCCACTGTTGTCATCAGTCTCTGTGGAGTGAGGCTTCCCCAGAGAGACAAGTACGGTTCACTCGCCTGCGTTACTAAATGCTAGAGAATATTTTTAAAATATAAAGAAAGTAAGTCCAGCTCTCATGTTGGTATTTTCTTTCTTTTCTTTTGGGAAGTTGCTAAAAGAGCAGATGTCTAATGAGGATTCCTTAAAATGACCTTGAAATCTTCCATTTGTATTAGAAGAGGTAGGGCAGGGAGATGATTTACCAAGGGGTTCCCTGGTTCTGCAGGAAGACTCAGCAGAGAAACTTCATGGAAAACAGTCGGAACCAGGTATCATTTGCCAATAAGTCAGCCAGTGTTGAGGAATCGGCACTTGAGCAGCGCCTGTAGATGGATGTCCCCATCCTTGGGGAAGTCTTAGAAAATCCTGACATCAGGTAACTTTGTACTGAGCACCCAGTGTCAGGCACCGGGCATCTTCTAGGTGCTTGGATGCTGCCTTAAATAAGACAGCATGGTTCCTGTCCCCTGTAACACACTCCAGTGGGGCATCTTGAGAGGAAGCCAGGTGATTATTACAGTTTCGAAAGCTCTGGAAGGGACTCCTCTGGACACCCAGAATCTGTGAAGGCTACTGAAAGACAGTGTGTCCCCACCAGGTGTGGAGAGGAGAGGAAGTGAGCAAGACAAGGACCTGGGGGGACAGGAGGGGCATTACAGGCAGAGGAAATGATCCCAAAAGGGGGCAAGAGAGCACAAAGAAGGCTAGGGTGGCAAGAGGTGGTGCCGGCGGGTTAGCAGGACCAGCAGAAGAACTGGGGACACCCCTGCTGAGAGATGGCTGGTCCATGAGGGTGGCCAGTGAGAATGAGGTGTGTGGGGGCGGGGCGGGTTTGTTTTCGTGGGAAAGGAGCAGGCCAGTCCTCTTGTTTCTGGCAGCCTGGAGGATGGCCGCTGCGTGCCCCAATTGGAGATGTCCAGGAGGTGGAACCAT